GACTATATGCAGCGGTTCAACAATGCCACCCTAGACATTGATAATGTCCCTGATACCATCTATTTGTCTGCCTTATTACACGGCCTCAAGCTTGGCCGATTTCTTGACGACCTATTGGAAAATTTGCCTAAGTCATGGAACGAGGTGAATGACAAATCAGCAAGCTTCATTTTTTCAGAAGACTTTTAGTCGTCCGAGTGATGAGCTAATGATAAGCAAAGTAAAGAGCACAAACAACCAAAAGGAAGAGACGAAAAGAAAAAGCAGAAAATTGTTGAGCAAAGAGGAAAGCCGCCTTCCTTCCCAAAATATGCTAACTACATTCCTCTAAGCTCATCAAGGTCTCAAATCCCGGCACAAATCTAACACTGGGTCAAAAGACCACCTCTTCTACTACATGATTCCCCACAAGCAAACAGAAGCAAATATTGTGATTATCATCATGGGTATGGCCACAATATAGATGACTGTCAGAGTCTGAAGGACGAGTTGAAATTTTTAGCTCGCAACAGGAAGTTGGAAGGATATATCCAAAAACCCTACACCCAACAGCCTAGTCAAACCCATTTTGTGCAAGATTAAGGCCGATCCCAAGGGCAAGGGAACCAGCTTGGTAATAATCAAAACCCATACCAAGGGAATCAATACTCTTCTGAGCATGATAGAACATATCGAGGACACCAATTTAACAACAAAAGACAAGGACAAAAAGCTTTGGCACAGAACCAAAAAGGCAATAGAGGGATAGGCTATGCCAGGATACCTTCACCTTCAGGCACAATAAATATGATTTTTGGTGTCATGCATTCTCAAGGCCAGAGCACCCGAGGGCGTAAAGCCTATGCCCGCTAGGTGATGACTGTAGACAAGAATAGGCCCTTGAAACGACCATTTGAGGAAGCAGACTGGGAGAATATGCCCATTACATTTAGTCCTACTAATTACAAACAACCAGAGGGAGAACTCGATGTTATGATGCCCCATGCTGACCCCTTCATGGCAATAGTTCACATAGGTAATCATAACGTCAATAAAGTCTTCGTTGATACAGGTAGCTCTCCATATATCTTATATTGGAGCTACTTCCAAAAGATGCAGCTAAACCCAACTTCCATGAAGAAGTATGAGGGGCTTATATATGGGTTTGATAATCAACCCGTCCTTGTTGAAAGGGTGAGCACTCTTCTGATCTATATATGTACAGAGTCGTGGTTTAGGATGGCATCAGTCAACTTCTTGGTAGTTAAGATGGAGTCAACTTTCAATGCCATAATTGGGAGAGCTACGCTTTGTGAGCTAAAAGCTGTCATTTCTCAGCCACATCTTTGCATAAAATTCTCAACTCCTTAGGGAGTGCGAGTGCTCAAAGGAAACCAAAAAATGGCTAGAGCGTACTATCAGGATACATTCAAGAAAGTTGAACTTGTCGTAGTGCCAAAGGCCTCTTCTTCTCAAGTTCCTAGGCCAAGCCAGCCAAGCCTACAGATGATGAGCATATCTGACATAGACCACCACCTTGAGAATGTGGAGCAGAAGGCTAAGCTAGTAGAACTAGTGGAGACAATCCCTTTAAACCTTGACGAACCAGAAAAGATAGTAAAAATTGAAACTAAGCTCACACAGGAGGAAAGAGCTGAGCTTTTAGAATTTTTAAAGTCCAACCAGGATGTTTTTGTCTGGACAACAAATGAAATGCTTGGAATTTCAGTAGAGATTTCAGTCCACAAGCTCAGCACAGATCCTATAAAGAAGCTGGTAGTTCAGAAGCGACGACTTGTTGGCCCTAAGAAGCAAGCTACTATAGATGAAGAAATAAAAAAATTGTTACAGGCAGGTTTCATCAGATGAGTTGAATATTTGCAATGAGTGTCCAATGTTGTGCTTGTTAAGAAGCCCAATGGCAAGTGGAGGATGAGCATTGATTTTACAAACCTAAATGAGGCATGTCCTAAAGACCCATACCCTTTGCCCAAAGACCCATACCCTTTGCCCAATGTTGAAAAGTTGGTAGAGTGGGTAGCTAGAACGCATGAGCTTTTTAGATGCTAGCTCAAGATACCATCAAGTTCAGCTATGGTTGGACAATCAAGAGAAAACAACATTTAATGCTAGGGATGCCATCTATTGTTACGTCATGATGTCGTTTGCCTTAAAAAATGTTGGCGCAACATATCAGAAGTTAGTTTAGGTCGTATTTAAGTTTTAGATCGACAGGAACATTGAAATTTATGTTGATGATATGATTGTCACCAGTGTGCGAGCTGAAGATCATATTGATAACCTTAATGAGACATTTCAAAACTTGCGCCGAGCATAAATGAAGTTGAATCCCTTGAAATGTACATTTGCTGTAGAATCAAGAAAATTCCTAGGATATGTGGTATCCAAGAAAGGAATTGAGGTGAATCCAGACAAGGTTCAGGCCGTGCAGCAGATGGAACCTCCTAAGATAGTAAAAGATGTGCAACGTCTGATGGGCCGTCTCGCTGCTTTACACAGGTTTATCACCAGGTTGGTTGAAAAATGTCTTCCATTTTTCAAAGCCTTGAGGGAGCCTAAAAACTTTTAATGGACTGACGAATGCTAGTAGACTTTTGACGAGCTTAAACAATACCCGACATTGCCACCCTTACTCTCAAAACCTATTGAGGGAGAAAAGTTATATCTATACCTGGGAGTTACAGATGAAGCAATCAGCTCGGTTTTGTTGAGGGAACAAAATAAACACTAGAAACTCATTTGTTATACAAGTAAAGTCCTACAGGGTGCAGAAAAGAACTATCCAATTGCCTAAAAGGTCGTTTTCGCCCTTGTTTGCATCGCTTGAAAGCTAACGGCTTACTTTCAATCTCAACAGGTTATTGTTTTCACCAACCTACCCCTGAGGAAGATATTATAAAAGCCTAAGCTTTTGGGGTGACTAATTGGATGGGCAGTCGAGCTGAGCAAGTATGATCTCAAATTCGAGCCATGTACAGCTATAAAGGGTCAAGCTTTGGCAGACTTTTTAGTCTAATGTCACCCGGTGATTATGGAAGAAACCACACCCCTACACCCCACATGGGCACTGTACATAGACAGAGTTGCAACTGTTGAGGGATTCGGGGCAGGAGCAGTGTTAATAGGCCTAGATGGTTTTAAGTCCGAGCATGCATTGAGATTCAAATTTCAAACGACCAATAACGTTGCTGAATATGAAGCACTCATCTACGGTATGAAATTAGCATCCGAGTTGAAAGCGTAAAGCATAAGAGTCTTCAATGATTCACAGCTTGTAGTAAACCAAGTGAATGGAAGCTGTGATATCAAGGAACCTGAGCTCGGTTATTATGCCTCTATGGTCAACAGTTTGAAATTAGGTTTTGTTTCATTTTAGATTGACAAGATACCAAGGGCAGACAATTGTGTGAAGCGTTTGTGTCAATATATATATATATTCATTCAATTAAATAAAAGAGTCAAGCCATTCTACATAGCCTTAACTCTCCTATTAGTGGTATCAAAGTCATTAGACCTCAGACAAGATTCCTCGATCCGCCATGGTCAACAACATTCTAGCAAAGACACCCACACCCACATCCATAAAAACTTAGTCAACCAATTCCTCCTCCAAAACCCATATTGTTGTTGTTACCATTTCTAGTGAACCATCTCCTACCAAACACATCATTTTTACTTTTAATCCAACACGATTCCCACTCAAACTAACACTGAACAATTATATTACCTAGAAAGAACAAATTACCTCTTTGTTGACAACCTACAGGTTGCTTGACTTTCTTCAAGGCACTAAACCTTGTCTTACAATTCCAACAACTGTAGAAGAGATACTTGACTCTCCTTTTGATATTTGGGTGAGACAAGATTAAGCCCTTCGCCATGCCTTACTCACTACCATCTTAGACTCAATTGCCCCACGTATTGCCACAACTTGAACATCAAATCAAGCGTGGATCATGCTGGAGAACTTATATGCAAATGGATCTAAAACTCGATTTGTAGTTTGGAGAGATTATCTTTATAACCTCAGCTTTAAGTGAAAAACAATAACTGAATACTTGGATTATGTACAAAAGATTGTCGATGAGCTTGAAAACATGCACTGGCCAATGTTCAATGAGGAACTTTCTATTCATGTCATAAACAGTCGTGGACCAGAATTTCAAGAATTTGTGCCTCTATTTGTGCCCACAAGACATCATTGCCATTTGAGGATTTTCAAGATCAACTCTTGGCTCACAAAGAAGCCTTGTGACATGAAGAAAGATGGCTTGATTGTCAGTCATAGCACACCATGCTACTATGCAAAACAAAATATTACAAAGTAAGGGTTATTTTCTTCAATTTTAATAGGTGAGGGGTTAAAAGTGTCATAGTATAAGATGAGGGGTTAAAAATTACAAATCTAGTAAGGTAAGGGGTTAAAAATGTCATAATATAAGGTGAGGGGTTAAAACTTTCAAACTTGGAAAGGTGAGGAACTAAAAGTAGGCTTTTGCCGCAATGTTTCCCCTGTATCTTCTTCCTCACCATAGCAACATCCCAATTCTACCTCGTGTCCCCTTGCCAAATCTACACTTGCACTTGATTTTGATTCTAATCCTGCCAAATCGTCCTCTCCTCCTGCATCGCCTCACCGAACCCACCCCATGGTGACCCATTCCTAAAACCAAATTTTCAAACCTAAACAAGTATTTCTTGACACCACATCTCCGACTGATGCTTCACTTGAACTACACGTGTATCTCAAGCCATGAAGGATCCAAACTGGATATCTGCTACGTTTGATGAATTCATTGCTCTAGTTTGCCAAGGCACTTAGGATTTGTTACCACCGTCTCCACGTCAAAAAATTATTGATTATAAGTGGGTTTTTCAATTGAAGTGGCGGGCTAATGGGAGCAATGAGCGATACTAAATGTATCTGGTAGTGAACTGTTATTTTTAAAAAGTATGGCACTCATTATTGAGTTAATTTTTTAAGAAACATTATAACAAAATTTTTTTTTAAAAGAATAAGATTTACCTAAGGCAGTAATAGGACAATAGCAAGAATGATAAAAGTTGAGAAATTCCTCATGGTTGGCTTCTATCTTTCTATGTTATATATTTCTTTGAAAAAAATTTGAAGCAAATGTTACTAATTTAGCTTGCATTGAATAGTAAATATATATGGAGTTAGTGCTTATGTGCCATATCTTTTAAAGAATAAAAGGAAAATTACTCTAAAATTATGTCGTTTCAATAAAGTAACACCACAATAAAGGATCAAAAACACTCGAATTCATACTTTAAAAATAAGGTATTTAATTCTTTTTCAATAGAAGTTTATTGAAACAATGTAATTTTAAGATAATTTTCTTTCTAATATTTAGAAGGTAGATAGACACTATTCTATATATATATACAACCACTAATACTCCTAAATGGACATCTTTACATGGACAATATATTTTAAATTACTCTATTAAATAAAGAGTATTAAATTGCAATTAATTAGCATTTGGACTTTTTGAAACCAAAATTCATTATATATATATATATATATATGGATGATGTTACTGTCATACCCTCAATTACTAATGTTATATCTTTTTATTTTAATTGACCATTATTCCATTTAATTTATTACAAAACAAAAAAAAAATAGAATTTTGAGAAAAAAATTTAATATAAGGGTATAATAGATAATTATATTAAAAATATGTGGCATTAACTATTAAAATGTGGTAATAGCCTCACCCCCTCTCTCTCTTTGTATATATACTGTATAAAATGCTACCCTATGCATTTAACTAATTAAAAAAAAAATGAGAGTGCATGAAATTAGAAAAATTGTAATGATAAAAATATATAAAAATTGTAAATAAAAAAGTAAATGAAAATTGGAAGACCAAAAAAAATGGATATATTAATGACTTGAAAACAAAATAAAAATTAGGATGAAATAAAAGAAGATAGATGTAAGAGAGCATGAAAAATAAAAGACCCTAAATATTCAAAAATTCAAATAACATTCATTTGAGTAACGAAAAATGCAACTTTAGTCGAACTTATTACATTATAGTTGTTAATGAAAGATCAAAAGATACACAATTAATAACGTAACATATAATTATAATTATTGTATTATTTTAACATTTATTTCAAAAATAATGATAAAGAAAAAAAACTAAAACAATTTATTAACAATTTGAATATGGCTTTCTCTATATTATTGCATGGGAGTTGTATGTATGCAAAGGATTCAAGTAATGTAAAAGATGAAAGTGCTATTATTGTTGTTGTTGTTGTTGTTGTTGTTGTTGTTGTTGTTGTTGTTGTTGTTGTTTAATATTACAATTGTTGTTTGTTGTCTAGCTCAAAGATAAAAGTACAAGCGAGCATGGAAAGTAAAAAGTTTGGATTTACAAAATTCCTTAATGAAAAATGTAACCTTAATTATAATTATTATATCACAATTTGCAATTGAAGATCAAGATGATGATGCAAATCACAATCATTATATTATTACAAAATTTTATTTTTAAAATAAAATAAAATAATTCTGCAGAATATAAGTGCTTGAATTGCCCCCTTTTTTTTTTCAATATGAATATGAATTTGATTCTTACCATTCATTTATTTTTTCCTAATTATATTACATTCTTTATCTTTTCTTATTTCCTAATACTTTGTTGCTAAATTTTTCAAAAATTTAGAGATAAAGCGATTGTAAAAAATATGAATTATGTATTTCTTTATCAATTTTCACCTAAAATAGAAGATTAAAGAATCAAAGCAAAGATACGTAAGTTGAGGGATGTTTTTAGTTTAAAATGTGACAAAGAACATTTAACTACCGAAATGGTTTTAGTTGATGATAAGATAATTTTATGAGTTTTTTTTTTTTTTTTTTTTTTTTTTGCATTTTTTACTTTTGGTACTTACAAAAAAATTTTTCTGACAATACTCTATTCATATTGTTTGCAACACAAATTTATTCACTCTATGATTTGGAGTTCCAATACTCTCTGATTTAAAGATAAATTAGTTAAAAGAAATATTTACTACATGAAAAATTTTTTTATGAAGAAGAACAAGGATAGATATTGATGTTGTTTCTTATAATAATTTCACTGTTGTTAACGAAGTGAGTAGAGAAATCAAAGTAATCTTAAGATCTGCATTTGAACTCATTAATTATGAGAAAGTATTTGATAAAAAGAAGAAATCTCTTTGTGGTATATGTTTTTATTTATTATATAATTTTACTATTTTTGTTTTTATGTAATTTTATAATGTCTTTCTTTGAAAATCTAAATGTTGTTATTTTGGTCGATGTTGTATTCCATAAAAAAAGTAAGCAAACAATGATGATATTACTTACATGTAGCTACGCATTGGAGACACTTATATTTTAAATATTTTGATTTCTTTTGTTTTAAATATTTATTTGAATTCTATTTTTATTTAATAAAGTAAGGTACTTAATGTAGTAATATTAGATAATTATTTGATACCATTCTAAATTTGTTAAAGGAAAAAGTTTGAACGTGACACTTTAGTTGTCAATAGTAAACTAATTTGAAAAAATTAAATTTTCTAATAACTCAAATTTGCAAGTTATTAAATTCACATTTATGGTAGTAAAGGACAACAGAGGTGAATTATGAAATAAAATTCGTAATTTTTTATTAAAATTAAAAACATCACATATAGTTTAATTTTCATTTTAAATAAACTATTATTTTTATTAGGATGAGTTTTACTGTTAAGCTCTTAGTCTAAAATTTATATAGATGACAATATTACCGTAATACCTAACTTGAATGAAGCCTTAGACAATAAGATTCGATATGTTTATATTTATTTAATCTTTTTAACTTATAAAATTTTCAACAAATGTTATATTACAAATATGCTAGTTATACTTCTAATGTGCAACTAATTGAAGTATGAAACAATGATAGAAATATGGAAAATGTTACTCAAAAGGTAAAATACTTGAGATGTTGCATATTGTAAGAACACCACATGAATAGTCTTTTTTTCTTAATTAATTATTAATAAAATGTATCTATACTCTCAAAAATAAATGAGAAGCGGATATGATAAAAAAAAAAAAAAAACTAGGAGAGCGAATTTGAATGTGATGTTAAAGCTAATAAATTAAAGAATAAAATGTTTCTAATAGTTTATTTGATTTGAAGGAAATGAAGGAAATGATATGCTTTTCTCATTTGAATATACTAAAATGTAAAATAAATTAAAACAAAATAAAGGGAAGCTATTCCTTTTCGTTCTTTTTTTTCAAATAAGGAAATTTCTCCTCTTTTCCTTCCCTCAAATCAAACAAATTCTAAAGAGAGATATCAGTAATTAAGAGTTTGAACTTTCATGTTAGAAGTGAGTTAAAATACCTGTACAAGAGGGGAATAAAATGAGAACTAATATGGATAATTTAAATAAGACTTTAAAGCCAACAT